GTGGGGACGGAAAAAAAAAAAATAGGAAAAGCCAGTTACAGCGATTGAAAACAAGGAGGTGACCGTTCGTATTGTAGGGCTGCCAGATATCACCGGCTCTTCAACACGGCAAGTTATACTTTTATGTATCAGTCAAATCACTATTAATGGGTAAGATAATTTCAGTAGATCCTTCATGTGTTTGCTCAAATCACCGAACAGTATGTTTGTAAAATAAGTGACCCACTTGATCAGAGCAGATCGATTGGTTCCAAACCCTTGACTGGTCCGAACCCTTGACTGGTCCGAACCCTGGACTGCGTCCGAAACCCCGGGATACTGGTTTTCAAACAGTTTCGTTGGACAATAAAGCAGACTGTGAAGGAATGGGGTTGTAGGCTGGCCCCTTATAAAACACAAACATTAAAAATCAGGAAACGTGGACGGTTAAGCTGTCCAATATACAAAAAGAGTTAGAAACAGAAATACAAATAGCTAGTGAGTTCATTTAAGGTTATTAATATAATATTCAAGAGGTTGCTGTAGAATTGCAGTAAATACAACCATTCAAATCATTATGAAGCTGTGTGTAGTCCTGGTGGTCAGTCAACAAACGGGCCTCCACATGGATAAAATTGTTCCATTTTTTTGTAAATTGGTGTCACGCCCTTGGTCAGATATCCCAGAACTGCTACCAAGCAGTTTAAAACAGAGAAGTGTTTCTGGGTTTGCCCAAATGAGGAATCTGTGGACTAAATCACAGGGTATTAAAAGAGGACAACATCAAAGTGCTTGTCATAGAAAACCGGGAAGCTTTCTACAAACAGATGGGAACATAAATAAAAAGTTGGGCTGAATGGTAATTGCCTTGATATATGGACATGTAGTCACAAGCTGTAAGGATGGAGGTGGATGTCCTGGAGACAGTAATAGTAAACTGGAGGTGCTGTCCTGGAGACAAGTATGGTGAAGCTGGAGGTGCTGTCCTGGGAGACAGTAATGGTGACGCTGGGGAGGTGCTGTCCTGGGAGACAGAAATGGTGAAGCTGGAGATACTGTCCTGGGAGACAGTAATGGTGACAACCACCAGCTGGAGATTTGTCCAGGTAGTCGGGAATTATACGCAGGAAGGAATACATATAAATGACCTCATAGGGGACAGGAAGCCATAGTAGGGAAAACATAGTGTAGTCAAAGATAAGATAAAAAACAATATTGCAAACTAGAAATACACAGGAAATAGCAAACAAGAGGAATCCAATTAAGCATAGGTGAGGATAAATACCCAAATACATACGGAGTGGGAGGCTCCATTGTTGGTTCTTAGGGAGGATTGAAGTAAGACTGGGATACATGCACCCAACAGGGAATACAGTCACAGAAAACCAAGGCAAAGCGGAAACCAAGTTCTGTGCACATACTATGCAACTTGGTATCTGCTGGCATGGGAAATCTGGAAAAACAACAGATGGGACGTGCAACTATGCACAACCTAGGAACAATGCCATGCCCATTATGACAACAGGAAATTGCAAATCCTTCCTGTAAGCGTTTTTCACCCTGTAATGTGTACTCTTTCGTACAGGAAAGATCAGTGCTATACTTAAATTGCCAGGCATACCATCTAAAGGGACAAAAGATACAAACATCCAGGCCATGGGAAAAACTTGGGTAGCCACAGCACTCAAGAGGAAGTAGTGGTTTTTTAGTGCCAGGAAGGATAAAAAAACTGGCAGGAAATGGCAGAAATCGTACACCGTATCCAGTCATTCCTGGAGTGGAACCACAGTCGATGGCTTCCACTCAAACCAACAGATACGATACTAATGCCGGAAAAAAAATTCCCCCCCCCAGTACCAACAATTCCACAGTCCGTAGAACATTCTTCTTTGCAAATATACAGGGTCTATAATCCAAGCAACAAAACAACCAAAAATACCTTTCATCCGTGGATGCTATGCCAGAGGCAAAGGCAATGTTCGCGGCTTTCACGGAGACCACATAAAGGATCTTGGACAATGAAATATGGATCCAGGTTACAACCTATTACAGATGTGACAGGTAACAGGCCAAAAGGGGGGGGGGGGTTGGCCTGTACATTGCAGAGTCCACTTGTTTGCACAGAAACTGGCTTAATGCCTTCAAATGGACGTAGTGGAAGTTTTGCAGTAAAGGTCGAGGAACCAAAACCTAGTCATTGTGTAGTCTAAAGCTCCGGATGCTACATCAGCATTGCAGGAACAGTGTTAAAATTGACAGTGTCTGGAAAATCTTCAGCTCTGCACCCAACATCTGGCGCTGGGGGAGGATTTCAACTTAAGGCACCTAAAATGGAGGAATATAGCAAATAATATTGTTCGAGTAATAAACCAGGAGGCAGCATGATGAAAACTCACACTCACACGAAGCTTTTTAATCTCTGCAACAAAATTCAATTTTAAACGGCAAATAATAGGGAGCTACTAGACTGGAGAATCACTAGACCTTCATTTCACTACAATGATGCTCTGATAAGAAATGTCACCATATCAAAACAATATACTCAGATCACAACATAATTGAGGTTTCAGACATGTATGCGAGGATCCCCCAGACGACAAAATGTGACTAGTCACGAGGGTAAGCATTCACCAAATTCAACTTCAATAACAAAACATAAAGTGGGACCAAGTAAACCCAAAGTTCCTAACCGATATAGCTGGGAAGATATACTAAGCAACACAGACCCAAACTTATGCTAGAACAGATTAAACTCGGTGGCAGTCGATGTATGCACAAGGTGCTTATTCCTCTAAAAGAAAATGGAGGAGTAGATGTAAAATAGAAAGAGACAGGCGCTCCCTTTACAGGCGACATGGAAAGAATAACAGAGCGGCTAAAAAGAGGTCAATTTTATCTGAAATGCGGCAGGAGACACTGGTCAGAGACAATAGCAAGCATCGAACTAAGCCTAAAAGAATTCCTTTAGGAGTCAGGAATCGCGGGAAGAAAACTAAATGCTATAAATGAAATCGAAAGAAAACCCAAAGTATTTCTTCTCCATGCCCAAATCAAAATCGAGAACAACGCCTGTATTGGGCCACTACTTTAAACAAGATGGGTCCTACACAGATGGGACAGCAAGGGAAATGAGTGAGCTATCAAGTCCCTATATGGACTCGTTTTTTAGCACGCCGCTAACCAGACTTGAAGAGATCGAAGATCCTAAATGTATTTTTTATGTAGGGAGAGCCACAAAATATGATTAAACAAGCCCTTCTCCGATGTTATCCTGACGCCAAATGACTCGACAGGCGATAAATGACATGCCATGCTACTCTGCCCGTGCCAGCTCATGGATCTCTGTGTTATCAAGAACTGCAAAGAAGCCCCTTATCACGAGCTCTTTTCCATCCTTATGGAGAGGGAGCATGGACACGGGGGTCGTCCCTCAGTTACTAAAAACAACAGACATAGCCCCACCTCCACAAAAAGGGGCAAGTAAGAACAGCAAAGAAACTACAGATCCAATAGCACTAACATCCATATCATAAATAATCTTTGGAAAGGGTCCTAAGAAGCCAAGATCAACCCATCTAGAAACCCTCAAGTTACACAACCCAGGGCAACAGGGTTGTTTAGAACAGGTCGACTCCTGTCTGTTCTCAGCTACTGGAATCACTACTGACAGGTCCCTAAATGGACTAGGGAAGACAAAAAGGATATGAGATGTAAATTTTAAGACTTTGCAAAAAAGCCTTCGACAAGTGTGACCATGGCGTAATAGCGCACAAAATGCGCGCTAAAGGAATATAGGAAAAGTGGTCGATGGTCTACTTATTTTCCTCACTACAGAACGAGAGTATAGTCTGTCACTCTGAGTAAAGTCCGAGGCCAAGCTTGGTGAAAAAAGCTTCTGTTCCACAAGGCACAGTACTAGCTCCCATCTTGTTCCTAACCGCATATCCGACATAGACAAGGATGTCAGCCACAGCACGTGTCTTCCTTTGCAGATGACACCCGAATCTGCATGACAGTGTCTTCCATTGCAGACACTGCAAGGCTCCAGGCGGACATCAACAACTCTTTCAGTGGGCTGCAGAAAACAATATGAAGTTCAACGATGAGAAATTTCAATTACTCTTATATGGTTAAAACATGAGGAAATTCAATCTCAATCCAAAAAATGAATCTTAACTGTAAGTGGCCTGTGATACTCCAATACTGAAACTATGTATAGTGCCAAAACAAAAGCATTCACATTGCTAAACTCACAAACTAGTATTTAGTCACTTAGCCATAATACCAACTTACCTCATAATTTTGTAATATTTTAAACTTAAGATTTAATTTAAGTCTGCCCGAAATGCCTAGCCATGCTAGGTGTTCTAGTGGTACACTCTGTAATTATTATTTTACTACATGTAAACCACACAATAACCAAATTCTGTAAACTCAGCATTTTAATCCTTACAGAGAATAAACTTTGAATATTGAACTGCAGCTAAAACACAACGGTTTATTGGTACACAGGACATTTTCGACAACTTCACTGCCTGACACTAGTTACGAGTGAGAAGGTTTCATTTAAAAGAGACCTACTCGTAGGTTTGATGCACTCTCAGTGATTACTTTCTACTAGTGGGCCCCGCCGCTTTTCTCAAGATTTTCTCCGCCTCACCATGACTATACAACCTCCGTTCTGTTGCTTCAGCTTCACTAGACTATGATGCAGAACTCTTCGCAAGGCTGAGGGACTAACCACCTCAAAACTACATCTTCTAGGGTGATGGACTGCTAACATCGTCCTTACATCTCTACTGCTTCTGTTGCCTCTGGACTTCACCTTACGAAAGCAAAGTAAATGTGATAGTAATTATGGACAAGGTAGATTATAGTGGAAAAATGAACATGTTATTAAAAGACGGAGGAACTTACGTGCCTCTTGAGGTACCTAATTGTTGCACATGTGTCTTACCTACCAACTTGTCGGTATTGAATACCATCATATTCAAACATTCACATATGTTTCAATTACTCACCAGCCAGCACAACATCTTTCTCGTTGAGGTGTGTCTTGCACCATCTGTGGTCGTTGCTCACCACCACGAACACTGCATGTACAACTCTGTGGTAAGTTAAACTGCTGTTAGTGTGGTGTATGTTTTGCTCCATTATTGTTCAAATTTCATAGTACAATCTCTTAGTAATTAAATAATCAACTACCTCATTATGTGATTTTACTAGTAAGCATAAGTCACCTTACGTAATTTTATTTACTATTGTTTGCTTAAATATTAGCTGAATTGATACTTTCTCTGTCCATATTACTACCTCATATTTTTTTTAAATACTATTAATTGATATTAGTTACTAAAATTAATAATTAATTACTATTTTTGCTATCAGTACAATTTACTCTTAACATTTTTGACATCATTTAATAACCATTACTTGTCTAATTACCATAACCTGTTTTAATACCACATTTACTATCTTAACTCTTAATTACCTTGTACTGCCAAATAACCTCTAGTATAACTACCAGTGCAATATTGAATCCAAATAACTGTTCTTAAAATTTAATACTTGAAATAAACATTACTTTTTCATTTTTTTTGCTCATTAATCTTTTTTTGTAATCATTATTACTTACTAAAATTTTATTAAACACCATATTTACTACCAGTCAATTTTACTTTTGTACATTAATCATTATTTTATACTTTTCATAACATTTTGTTGCCAAATTTTCAAGTTTGTATATTCAACTCCAACCTTTATATTATCCTTTGTACCTGTGTACCTGTGTACCTGTGTACCCGTGTACCTGTGTACCTGTGTACCTGTCTACCTGTCTACCATCTTACTATCATATTATAACCAAGTCATTGCCTTTGTTATTTTTTACTTATTATTCTTTTGGTACTTTAATTTGTGAATTTTATTTTGTCAATTTAAATCTAGTTATACTCTTGATCTTGTCAACAACCTATACCAGACACTAGTGCAATTGCAAGTACCATTTTAATTTGTATTTTTATATTATAAGTTTATACCTAGTTGTACTTTAGCTCATTCTAGCTCAATACATAGACAACACCTAAACTAACTTTAGCTCATTCTAACTCAATACATAGACAACACCTAAACTAACTTTAGCTCATTCTAGCTCAATACATAGACAACACTAAATTCATTATGTTAGACCTTAGTGCAATTACAAGAGTGAGTCTGGTGCCACTTGTAATTTTTTGTTTATAGTATTAGTTTATACCTAGTTGTACTTTAGCTCATTCTAGCACAACACATAGACAATATCAATTTCATTATGTTTATTAGCGACTATACTCTATATGACCAAAGTGCTTTAGTGATATACTTATCCAAACCTCCCACCACTACAGAAATTTGTATTAGAACTCCCAAAAATTTTACAGGATATAAAACAACCACTTTTTAAAACCAAAACGATGAAGGGATCACGTTGCCCCTGTTCTAAACCTTAATAATCTAACACAAAAATTAAAAATTTATTGGGAAAGAAACTGCCTTTTTTAAACCACAGCATCACAAGCCAGCACTACCCTGAACACTGCTCAAATTTCAAATTCATTTCTTAAGGGAAAACATCAGGCCCTTTTAAGAACACTATGATGCCCTCCTGGCACTCCTTGAGTCACAAAGGGACACCTTTTTCCTGCATTATTTTTACTGGGGACTGGTTTTTAAGGGGGACAAAATTGATATCTACCCCCATCCCTTGGGCGCCGGGAACCCAATTTGGGTTTTAAAAGATTATATCGAGTAAAAAAAAAGGGAGAATTAGTGTGCATTTGCGTAGCGGGGGTTTACTGCCAGGGGGGAAATTTCATAGGCCTATGCCCCCGTGTGGAAAAAAATTTTAATAATTAAAACTTTTCATGTCAGAGGAAAGAAAGTCCCCCGGGATTTTCATTGAGTATACATAGTGTATGTGTTTACACAGTGGCTCCCTAGTATATTGATGATAAAGGCAAAATTTGTCATTTAAAAAACAGGTAAATTTGAAAAATGAAGGGATAAGCCTATAGGGGGAAGGGTTTCCCAAAAGTCGCCAAAAAATTTTACCACAGGTCAGCTTTTTTTAATAATTTCCCGGGCCCTGCTGGGTGTACTCGATATAATCTGTGTTTCCCAGTAAATAGCAAATACATTTGTTGTAGTAGCAAAAACCCAGTTTTTAAAATGGTACTTAGGGGAGGGGGAGTGACTTTCATTAGCTTTTTTCTTGAAATAGAGACGTTACTGTAAATTTCTTAAAACCTGTATTTACCAGCGGTGGCATTTACAAAAACGAGAACCCAATTATTACTCAGAAAAAGGGTCCTTCCCCCAAAAATTTTGCACCAGTAAAACTTTAGTGATAATATAGCATTTTTTTGCGGTGGAGAGGGAAAAAAAAAAAAATTTAGAAACCCAGATACAGCATTGATAAACAAGGAGGTGCCCGTTCGTAAATTGTAGGAGTCCCAGATATCACCGCCCCTTAAACCCCCCAAGGGCAAGTTATATTTTTTGTACCCAAGTAAAATCAATATTAGGGGGTTTGGGAAAATTTTCCCTGTGACCCTTAATGTTTTAAGCCCCAAATCACCGCCAAGTATTTTTTAAATAAGTAAACCCATGTTTCCGAGCAAAATTCAAACGGGCCAAAAACCCTTGATGGTCCAAACCCCTTGATGGTCCAAAACCCTTGTTGGCCCAAACCCCGGGGACTGGTTTCAAACAGTTTCTTTGGGAAACCAATAAAGAAAGACTGTAAAGGTGGGGTTTTTAGGCCCCCTTATAACACAAAACTTTAAAAAAATCAGGAACGTGCCCGGAAAAGTGCCCAATATACAAAAAGGTTGGGAAAAGAAAATACAAATAGCTAGAGCTTCTTTTAAGGTTATTAATTTTAATTTTTTAAAGGGAGGTTGTAGTGGAATTGCAGTAAATCAACCATTAAAATCATTAGAAGCGGGTTGTAGTCTTTTGGTCAGTCAAACAAAGGGGCCCCCACAGGGGTTTTAAAATTTGTCATTTTTTTTGGAAAATTTTGGTGCCCACGCCCCTTGTGCAGATACCCCGAAATAGCTACAAGAAAGTTTTTTAAAACGAGAAGTGTTTCTGGGTATGCCCAAATGGGGAAAAAATCTGTGGACAAAAATAAAAAGGGTTTTAAAAAGGGGGACAACATAAAGTTTGCTTTCATAAAAAACCTGGAAGCTTTTTTCAACAGATGGGAAACCCTAAAAAGTCGGGTGAAAGGTAAATGCCTTGATACTGGCCCTTTTCACAAACTGTAAGGGTGGAGGTGATGTCCTGGGAGACAGTAAAAGTAAAAATGGAAGGTGGGTGTCCTGGGGGGACAATAATGGTGAAAACTGGGAAAGGGGCCCGTCCTGGGAGACAGTAATGGTTTAAGCTGGAGGGGCTGTTTCCCGGGAGACAGAAATGGTTTAAATGGGATTTCTGTCCTGGGGGGACAGTAATGGTTTAAGCTGGGAAATTTTTTCCCGGGAGTCGGGAATTATACGCAGGGAAAGGGAAAACAATTTTAAATGACCTCTGGGGACAGGAGCCATGTAGGGAAAAAAAGTGTTTGTCAAAGGATAAACCCCCCCCCTTGCAAACTAGAAATACCCCGGAAAAAGCAAACAAGAGGACTCCCAAAAGCAAAGTGAGGTAAATTACCAAATACAACTGGTGGGGGTCCATTGGGGGGGGGTAGGGGGGGTAGAAATAAGACAGGGAAAAATGCACCCAAAGGGAATACGTCACGAAAAACCCCAAAGGGAAGCGGAAAAACCCAAATTTTGTGACATTACTATGCACTTGGTTCTGCTGGCATGGGAAATCTGGGAAAAAAGATGGGGGCGGGGAAATATGACCACCCTGAAAATGCCCTTTCCCCTATGACAAAAAGGAAAAAGCAAACTCCCCTTCCCGTAAACTTTTTTACCGAAAGTGTCCCCCTTTTAGTACAGGAAAGATTTTGCTTAATTAAATTGCCAGGCATACCATCTAAAGGGGGCAAAAGATACAAAACATCAGGCCCTAAAAACCCGGGGGGTTTTGCCACAGCCACCCCAAGGGGAGAGGTTTTTTGTGCCCGGAAGGAAAAAAACTGGCGGAAAAAGGAAGAAATCGACACCAAAAACCCGTCATTCCTGGAGTGGAACCCAGTCGAAGGCCTCCACTCCAAACCAACAGATACGATACTAATGCCCGGAAAAAAAAACCCCCCCCCTAAAAAAACCAAAAAAACCCCCAGTCCGATCAATTTTTTCTTTTTTCAAAAATTTTTCAGGGTCTAAAGCCCGCAACAAACCCAAAAAAATAAACCCTTTTATCCGGGGACTGCTTGCAGCGGCCCCCCCCCCCCCCCCCCCCCGGAAAGTTCGCGGCTTTCACTTTAGACCCAAATAAAAAGGGTCATTTTGGGCAATGAAATTTTGGTCCCGGTTTAAAAACCCATACAGATGTGACAGAAATGGGAAAAGGCAAAAGGGGGGGGGGGGGGGTTCCTGTACTTGCGAGTCACTTGTTTGCACAGAATGCTTTAAAGCCCCAAAGGGTAGTGGAAAATTTTGCAGTAAAAAGGTTTGAGGGCCCAAAAACCCAGTCATTTTTGGAAATCTAAAAAGGGCCCCCGGAAAGCAACATCCAGCAATTCCAGGAAACAGCTGTTAAAAATTTACCAGTGTTGGAAAAATCCCTTCCCGCACCCCAAAATCTTGTCCCCCGGGGGGTTTCAAAATTAAGGCCCTAAAAAGGGGGGAAAAATAGCAAAAAATATTGGGTTTCAGTAATAAAAAACCAGGGGGAGCTCTGATTTAAAAATCACACTCCCCGATTTTTTTTTCCTGCACAAAATTCAATTTAAACCAGCAAAAAATAGAGCCCCTGACTGGAGAAAAACACTAGACCTATATTCACAACAATGATGATTGAAAGAAAATTTTCACCAATCAAAAAAAAATATTTCAAAATCACAACATAATGAGGGTTTAGCATGGGATGCGAGGAGCCCCCCCCCCCCCCCCCCCCCCACAAAATGAGACTAGTCACGAGGGAGGGATTTACCCAAAAAAAATTCAATAA